AAGATGACAATAAAGTCCTGAAAATGGTAGATAGATCATAGATAGCTGACAAAAGATTTTGGACACCGTGAAGAGTTTTGAGAATACACGGCACTCCGCGATGTGAGATACTTCAGCCACCAAACTGCAGCGAGCAACGTGGCCTCGTCTGTCCCGTGCATATTAAAATATCATTCACTCAGTCATTTACCCCCACACGTTTATTTCGTGTCCAGACCAATAAAATATTTCAAATTCATCCCTCTACTTACCTCAATTACCTTTTTAACCCACCCCAATTCGAATAATGTCATTCTTACCCCGTTTGGCCCTGATTAAATTAATTTCATTTTCCTCTCTTCTTATTTTTAATTACACTATCTTTCAAAAAATAATATTACACACATAAATCGAAAACTTTCCTTATTTTTAATCATCTATTCTCCAAAAAATACTATTCCGCCCATTATAATTTGAAATAATGGGGGCACTCACGATTGATAATTACGATCTTTGGCTCTTATTTTTAAAATTTATTTCATTAGATGTACAATTTTTGAATTTTTGAATCACGTATTTTATGAAATTTTATCAGATATATAGTTCTTGTTTGGTAGGGATTGTGTTAATTAATTTTTTGATCGTTAGACATAAAGTAGGTCCTATCTGTGAGAGAAGAATTCAAAAATGACTGTTAGAATAATGATATAACGATAAAAAAAAATTGATGTTAATTGAATTAAAATCTCTACCAAACATGCTCATATACTAAATCATGATTTAAATGTCTCAAAATAGGGCCTTAATGCTATGGTACTACGACTTATAAAATAAATAAATAAATAAATAAAAGATGCAAAAAATAATAATAATAAAGAAAAATAAATAAAAGATGCACTTTAATGTTATTAAACAGTTTGGTAGTGTCGCCCATACTATGTACGCTAGATCTTGTTTGGAGACACTTTTAGCCACCGTTTGATCACCATTCTTTTCAAATTTTTTTCTTCGCGTCTCATTTTGCTACAATATTTACACAGATAAAATGTTACAATTACTCAATCTTTTGTCAGAGACGCTACAAGATGAAAAACCGCCTTGAGTTTGATGACTATCTCATCGACTCATCCTCAACGGAAAGAATAAAAATTCCAACAGAAGGGCAAAAAGGGAAGGAAAAAAATTCCAATTGAAGGGCTAAATGGTTTTCCACAAATTTCCATAATTCAAACGACTGACACATACCCAGATGTCTCAATTTTTTGTAGGGACGTCGTCCTTATATTCTACATGGGGCCCACACTTTTTGAAAAAAAGTTGGAAAAATTTGGCAAGAATTGAAGGCATACCCACGCATAAATACAAATAATTTATTTGTTGAATAAAATTAAATTAAAGAGTTTACTTGGTTTACTTTGCTTAAAACATTAAACTAAATAATTTTTTCTTTTCGTAAGAAAATGTGATTATAAACACATCATCATATTTGTGAGTTCATTAAAATATGTGATTAAACATGAAATTTAATTAATTATAAATAATTTATAAAAATTTTGAAGAGCTCTTCTTACAAGGATGTAGACATTTTGAGTTGGGAGGGCATAATTAAACTTACAAAGCACCTAAAGCCAGCCTTAAGGGTCTCCCTAAAAATAACAAACTCCCCTCGTCGTGCTCGAACAATCCTATCCTCGGGGTCTGGGAATCTAACATCGCAGTTGGGCATTATACCGTATTCCCTAGCTGCAGCTATGACTGAGTGCTCTTTAAACCTGTAGGGTTCGTCGGGATACTCAAAAACCATATTGACCTGGGCCTCGGGAGTAGCCTCTAGGGGAATAGCCGTCGGTATTATCGAGGTCCCTACGTCCTCACTACTGCTAGAACTGCTAGAAGATTCTCGACCCTCACTACTCGACATCACTTAAGAAACTTAAGACCTAGCTTATGAATAACTTAGAGTCTCGAGCCTTACCTGGAATTCCCGACGACTTGAGAAGTTCCCAGATGTGTTTTTCTCGAGCACGACCTCGCAAAACTCTGATTTACAGTGGGTAAAAGTGAAAAATGAAGGTGAGAACAATAGTATTTATAGGTGAAAATGATGGGAGGTCAAAGGTCGCTATCTACGACCGTCCACGAAGACACGTGTCACAAATCCAAGCCACTCTCTGCAACGGTCATATCTCGACCTATATCATCAGCCATCACTTCTCGACAAATGCTCGAGGAATGACATAACCCATTTGCACCCCATCCTAAGAGCTCGATCTCTAGGACGAGTGCACGGGGGCCAGTGACTATGCCAATATTGATACACCCGAGGCATTTATTCCCGAGGACTCAATACATACCCCCACCTCATTTCTCTTCTTCAGTCCTCGAGGTCATCTAAGTCCTCGAGATATTGTAGTCCTCGAGATACCTCGAGGACACATTTACATTCCGTCCATGTCCTCGAGAATAGTCCTCGAGACACACACCACCAACGTACCTCCTAAGGCCTGGGTACCTAATTAACAAACCTAAAAACCCAAGGATTCTACATCAACCCTAACACCACTTGTCAAACAATTCCGTTACAAGTAGGACATTCTTTATAATAGAAATTCCCTTGGATAAAAACATCCAACCAACACAATCCTACTAGGAGTGCACTGCCTACTCCTATAAAAGCAGAACCTTGGGCCATTATTCAGGTACGTTTTCTCATTGTTCTTCAGCATATAGCCTCACGCATATATTTCCCTTTCTGACTTAAGCATCGGAGGGGCGACGAGAACACACCTCGTTGCCTTTGTTTCAGGTATCGGAAGATCACGTTCGTGCTCATCATCAGTCATCAAGCTCGGAAAATCTACAGGTACGATTTTTGGTAGCATCACTACCCATTTTCTAGATTTTTTCATAAGAAAACTATTTACAGTACATTTCCCATACTATCCCTCCAGTTTTCCTTTATAGTTCACTCTTCTCCTCCACCCACTAAAGATCCAATCCAAACCAAGCATGGCTGCTGCGATTTCATCAACTATGGCTATCCTTTTCCTCTTCCTCTTCACTCTGTTCTTGGCAAAAACAAATGCATCGGACATGACTACCCATTTTCTAGATTTTTTCATAAGAAAACTATTTACAGTACATTTCCCATACTATCCCTCCAGTTTTCCTTTATAGTTCACTCTTCTCCTCCACCCACTAAAGATCCAATCCAAACCAAGCATGGCTGCTGCGATTTCATCAACTATGGCTATCCTTTTCCTCTTCCTCTTCACTCTGTTCTTGGCAAAAACAAATGCATCGGACATGTCCATAATCTCGTACGATGAGCAAAACAACCTTAATGGTCCGATTTTGCGGTCTCACGACGAGGTCATGTCGATGTACGAGGCGTGGATAGTGAAGCACTCGAAGTCATATAATGCTTTGGGAGAGAAGGAGAAGAGGTTTCAGATTTTTAAGGATAATCTGAGGTACATAGATGAGCATAACGCTAAAGGTAACCAGACATATAAGCTAGGTCTGAACCGGTTTGCTGATCTGACCAATGAGGAGTACCGGAGCAAGTATTTAGGTAGGAAAATTGACGCTAATCGGACATTTCCTAGAGTCAAAAGTAACCGGTACGATCTGAAGGACGATGACAGTTTGCCGGACTCGATCGACTGGAGAGATAAAGGCGCTGTGAATCCGATCAAAGATCAAGGAAGCTGTGGTAAGCCCCTTTTTATCTACTTGAGCAAGCACGTTAGGCTAAGCTTAAGAGCTACTACTTAAAAAAAAAAAAAAAAAATTAGATAAGAAGAGAGAACCTCTTATTGAGGTACAATTATTAAAGTACTTCTGAGGGCGTCTCGCACCACAACAACAAATTAGTGCAAAACATCAATTTTGAGCAAATGAACAGAGCCTTTTTTTTTTTTTTTTTTAAAAGAAATTTTCATTATTTTCATTCTGCCCTTCATTTTATATTATAATAAATAAAATTTCTGTTATATTATTATTTTTTAATTAACATTTATGATGTATATTTTTTTTTTATTTTGTGTGTTGAAAATTTTATTTTTATTGTGGTATTAATAACAGTATTTTTATTAATGTATTAAAGAAGCAATATTTTAGTTAATTAAATGTAATTTTTAATTTTGTAATTTTAGTAGTTATATAAATTTATAATTAAATATTTTTTGAAATAATATTGAGAATAAAAAAGCTAAATAAAGAAAATTGTTCATTTGGAGTAATATAATTTGTGTAATGTTTGGATTTGACTATGTGAAATGGTGTGAAAGTTGCACTAATTTGATACTGTGGGTTGTAGATTGCCTAAAAGAGATGATTTTGAAGAAACCTTTATGGGAATATCAGCCTGGGTGTAGTTGATTATCAAGCTAGTCTCTCACACGAGAGTTTCCCGGTTTGAACGCAAGCTCAGACATTTTGACATCTCAAAAAAATATATATATATGATAATAATAAATAAATAAAAATAAAAATTAGGGTTTTGAGTTTTTTTTGGGGGT